AGTGTAGATAGGGAAGGGGTCCAGACCTGGCCAGAATCCCCCATCCCCTTGGTCATTGATTGTGTCCAGGTTGGCAGTCAATGAGGAAGAGGAGGCCACAGCAATGTCCCAAGGGCCCAAGCCCAGCCATGACACCCCTCCTGACCTCAGAGGGCTACCGACTAGTCAAACGAGACACAGAACCGAGCAAACCTGTCTGGCCTACTCTCCCTGCAAGCTCTAGTTGTGAGTCTGCGTGGGATGCAACCTGCCCACCACACCTCTGCCTGCTGCTCGCATAATGGCTTTTCCTGGCTGGGGGCTAACTGCTTTAGAATATCTGTGCTGGGCCTCAGGTCCCCATCCACTGCGCTTTATTGCTCTCAGAAGGGAAACCACTTATTTGATGTGTAAACTCGAGGCAAATCAGGATCTTTAGAACGTGATATTGCACTAAATTGTAGGACAGGAAGGCTGTAATGCTTGGAAACATTGATCTAACTGGCAGTGGTAACTTCCAGAGCTTTAGAATGGAGGCAAGACAACTGTTCCAGCCCCATCCAACAGCGAAATAAACAAATTCAGAATCTATTTATGGGGAGGGGGTCAATCGTTCCATAACTGGAAGGCTACAGGAGTGAGGGTGACTAATAAGGATGTTGCAGTATCAAGCTGAGCTCATCTAAGGTGTCTTTGAGGAATTCCATCCCAGGGTGACGCTGGGTGGGAACCTGGCCCCTCGCCTTGTCCTGGTGACCAGGACTGGGCACCAGCCCTCGCCAGGCCCTGCTGAATCTCTGAGCAAAGAGAGGCCAGAGGGAGGGAGCCCTTGAGGCTGAAGAGTCAGGACCAACTCCTGGCAACATCCTCAGGCAAAGTGAGGAACAGGCCTGGCTGTCACATTGCACCCCTGCTGAGGGCTAGACCCACACATACATGCATGGGAATGTGCATGTGCACACAGACACAGAAACACATGTATATACATGCTCACACAGAAACAGAAACACACATGCACACATATGCACAGAAACACAGGCATGAACAGAGAAACACACTCAGATATGGAAACACACGCACACTCAGACACATAAAGAGAAACTCACACGTGCACACTCTCAATTACATGGAAACACGCATAGAGTAACACACACATACATACTCTCACACAGAATACACACACACATACACATATACACAGAAAGCACACATAAAGACACACAGAGATACACACGTACACACTTGCACACACAACCCAAGGCTCCGTCTACTCATCGCCACAATCCAGAAGCCCCGTCTGGCCACATCTGGCAACACACGCAGGCTCTGTCGTGCCCATGAGCCCCAGATGAGTGACACAGGTGTCAGTGTGCAGAAGGGGCCTCCAGGGGCGCAGAGACTAGCAGCCTGCTGCCCGGGGCGGTGGCTTCTGCCCTAAGAGCTGAGGTCTGGGCTCCAGGGCTGCAGGCGGGGAGGTGGGGAGGCTGTTGATAGACACAAATCCTGGAAGCTTCCAGATTGTGCAGAGCCAGAGGACGATTGCTTTGCACACATCTGCACAGGAGCTAAAAGGAAGTAAAACCCTTTGGGCCACAGAAACCTCACACTGTGAATGCCAGGACTCTGTGTGACAGACAACCCCCGTCCTCATGGGCCTCTAGCCCAAGCCAGTGGCCCGAATGCAGTGTGGAAACGCAGGGGCAAGCATGGGGCGCCCATGGGGAAGAGGGGCTCAAGATACGCTTCCTGGAGGCGGCAACACCCACACAGACCTGGGGAAGAGGACTCGGAGGAGGAGGTCCCGGGGAAGGGGCGAACGCTACCTGCAAGACACACAGAGGTGCTCCTGGGAAGGGCCAGGGAAGGAGGCCTGGCAGCCTGTCCTGATGCCCTGCTCTCTACACACTTCTGGGCTGGAGCAGGGTTTGGGGGAGCCTGGGGACACCCTCACGGCCTGGGGCACTTGTAGGGACAATGTCCACAGGCCACAGATGGGGAGGCAGGTAGAGGCCTGGGGAGGGAGGCTGGTTGGTCCAAAGTCCTCCCAAGGTTACGGGGCAGCAGGGAGACCAACCTTCCAGGTTCTCCCAGGACCGAGGGGCTCCCTGGAGGTGAGACTTTCAGTGCTTGAGCCAGAACATCAGGGCCAAATTGTGACAAGATGTTCAACTTCCGGGCAGTCGGTAGAGCACTGAGCTGGGGACCTGGGCTCTGGAGGCTGGTCACGCAGAGACAGACGCTGTGTCCACAGAGCTGGGCATCTGCTGGCTGGAGCCCTGACTTCCATAGAGCTCGGGGTGACCCCTTGCAGGCTCATCCAGAGGACACGGTCCCCAGTAGGAGTTCCAGGTGGGACCCTGGGGGCGTTTGGAGGCCTTGCAGCTGCCTCCTCAGCACATGCTTCAAATAAAACACAATGTGGCCCAAGCTGCTCTACCCCTGGCTCTGCCATCTCCCCAACTCCCCCAGCACTCCTGCTCTCCGTCCTTGCACCCTTTTCTCTCACCTTTCACCTTTGCCCTCTGCCGGCTTTGCCTGTCCCTGCTCTGGCCTCTTGTCCCCTCACTCTGTCTTGTCCTGATCTTGCTTAACTCTTTCCACATGGGCTTCTCTTCCACTTCCCTTTTTCTCCCATCCTTGCCCTGAGGCCCTCGTCTCCATTGTCTCCATTTTCCATTTGCCTCTCTCCTCCCAGGCTGTGGGCTTTGCCCTTCATGCCTTGCCCACCACCCTTCCCTGTGCTGACCTGACTCCTCTCAGCCACACTCCCTCACTCATGCCCTGGCCACCCCCTTTCACCCCTGCCCTGGCCTAGGGCCTCAAGTCTCCTGCTGGTCTCTGGGAACAGCCCAGCTCTCCAGTTTGGGGAGTGGGGACAGGTGGTGAGGAGATCATGCAGAGATCTGTGCACAACTAACAGCAAGGATGGATGACCCTCACCAACAGTCGCCGTCTCCTCCTGGCATGACAGGACGGCTCGTGTGCCCATCCCTGGCCCTGGCATGCGTGCTGTAACTCCTCAGTGCCGTCTTTGCAGAGGATTAGGGATATGTTTGTACCTGAGAGCCTTGAAATCATACAGGAAGGAGGAATGGAACTGGGAGGAAGAAGATTTATTCCAGAAACAAAATCGCTCCCTGCCTGTGCTGTAGCTATTTCCCTGGCTGTCATAGCCTGTTTATAGGATGGAGGATGAACACAGAACACAAAACAAAAATGTAGAACACAAATAAAAATGTGGATACACATCCAAAGACAGTTGACTCAAGTAATAATACACCGGGTCAGTTTTATTTTTGTATCTAAAAAATTAAAGTTAGTTCCTTATACGTAACCACCCAGGCATTGCAGCAATGGCCATAAATTCTGGAACACGTAGCTTTAAGGATACAGATGTCCCCTGATTCAAAGTTTCCAGGTAGTTGCTCTAGGCACCAGGCATAGATAACGAACCGAGATTAGCAAGGATGGGCAAGACAGCCACAGGGGGCATTTCTCATCCCCAATTTCTCTCAGGCTGAACCCCAGTGGCTGTGCCTGGCTTAGGTCGCCCATCCCTTGAGGGGTCTTACCGGTCATTGTCTAACCAGTCATCTTATGGGGCTTAAGCAGTAATCACAGGAACAATGTGTTTATTGTGTGGCGTCCAGATCCCCACTGCCATGGGGCTGGACAGCTCTTGCTTACTTGCAGCTCAGGTCCTTTGTTATGCCTCTAGGCAACAGCCTTGTTTATCACAGGGACCTTGTCTGGAACACATTACTTTTAAATGCTCTGGGCAGAGCACGTATATTACTAAATTTAATTTTTTTTTTTTTTCGAGACAGAGTTACGCTTTGTTGCCCAGGCTAGAGTGAGTGCCATGGCATCAGCCTAGCTCACAGCAACCTCACACTCCAGGGCTCAAGTGATCCTCCTGCGTCAGCCTCCCGAGTAGCTGGGACTACAGGCATGCGCCACCATGCCTGGCTCATTTTTTCTATATATATTAGTTGGCCAATTAATTTCTTTCTATTTATAGTAGAGACGGGGTCTCGCTCTTGCTCAGGCTGAGCAACCTGAGCAAGAACTCCTGATCTCGAGCCATCCACCCGCCTCGGCCTCCCAGAGTGTTGGGATTACAGGCGTGAGCCACCATGCCCGGCCTAAATTTAATTCTTAAACCAGGAAAATACAATGTCCCCTACACCCGGCGATATGAACCTTCTGCTTTCAGGTGCTGCGGCACGCCAGACCTCAGACATGGAATCAAGATGGTAAAAAGATGCTGTGTCCCTCCACTGGAGCCCAGGCTGGCTGTTGTGGAGTTAACAAGCCCAAATTATCTGGTAGTGGGACGTACAGTCACAGGAACGAGGCCACAGCTGTCCCTGGCTCCAGCAGGTGGATGGGATAATGTGTTGGACTGAACGCTGGGACGCGGAAACTCTCCCACCACAGTAACAAATCCTGCATCGGGAGCGCAGTGCCCTCTCCCCCGGCCCAGTGCAACTGTGGTCCCCACTAAGAACCTGGTGGTGGCTGCAGAGATGCACTGCCACTGCTCTGACGTGCCCCACTGTCACCTCTACAGCTTGCCACAGCCACGACTTCCTACATTCACCCATGACTCCGTCCGCGCTTAGTGACACGCAAGACAGGGTGGGGTGACAAGTGACTTCTGGGCTTCACTGGGTCTCTCAGCCATGAATCTTTACTCAGGACTCAGGGAATACACGTTGACCAGCACACTTAAGGCCAGCTGGTCCCCCCCACCCCAACCCGAAAGGAGCTGCCTAGACTTTCCTGCTCTGTCTCCCTCTTGCCTTTGAGGACCCCAGTGATAACCTGGCTGGGAGGTAGGATCCGTGGGATTCAAATTCAATTCAGCAATGAAAAAGGCATCAAATGTCCAGCCACATGTTTATCTGAGGTTGCTAAGGAACAAGACTGGGATCATATCCAGACAACACACTCTTGTTCGGGAAAGGTGGCTTTAAGTCTCCAGCTACCAGCAAATTCAGAAAAACAATCAAACTCACCAGATACCGAAGTGAGAAGGTGACAATCAGCTATGCAGAGTATATTGCTTCTCCGCTGCGCTCTTTCCAGAACGACACTTGTCATGCCCCGCCCCTCCACAATCGTCACTCCCGACACACGCTGTGTGACCAGTCCCACCCCACTGTGCCACCAATGGCTATGGCATTGTCGGAGCAGATGCCCCTCCTCCTGGTCCAGTTCCTTCTGTTACTGCACCATTTTACAATGCCAGGTGCCATTGCCAAGTCGGCGTCCTGCTGACTGGGGGAGGAGGGGACACAGAAGGAAACAGAACTTGAGGGCCAAGCTTTGTCTCAGCCTTTCCTCGACATGGGGTTCCATTGCACTGGGGCTCCTGCACGGCTAGTGACAATTACGGGCTCAGAAGCTCCTGTCTGTGATTGGTCACATGTGCTGGCCTCCCGCCGGAAGCTGGCACGGGTGGTCCATAGGCTTAACCCCGCCATCCACCCTGGATCAAGTAGGCGTATTCTCCTGCAGTCTGGGCAACGGAGACCAACAAGAAACATTTTTAGTTTGTTTTAAATTCCTTGTTTTTATAATTCCAGTTTCTTACGTACCAAGAATTGGTTACAACCTCCATGCTCCATAAATGGGTGTCACATTAGGGTGGGACGTGGGCACCATGAGTCCTTCCAGGCTCCTGGACAGAGACCCACATCAAGATCGGAAGCCCTTTGGATGGCGTTGCAGACCTCATTGCTCAGTAAGCCCTGGAGGCTTTAATTCTCATTCCACTCTCGGCTGGGTTTTCTGGCACTCTCCCTGCAATCAGTCTCCTGGCATTGAACAGAACTCTGCGGTGTAGGCTGCTGAGGAACGGAAAGGAGATGCCCATGGGAAGTCCCAATGTCATTGCCGTGGGCAGGTGTAAAAGGAGAGACCTCGTCCTGTCACCTGGCTACCTCACTCCTTTGGTAGCAGTGCCGATAGCTGGAGCCAGGTTCTCAGGAGCACAGATGTGCGAGCAGTTGGGTTGGGCTTTCGGAGGACACGCTGTCAAAGGAGAGAGCCCCAGGTCTCCAAGTTGGTCTCTTTTCAGGCAAATGTCCTCAGGGACCTTTGAGCCTGGGAGTTCCTTTTCCTAGTTTGCCTATAGAAGTGGGAAGACTGTTGATGCTTCAGTCCTTTACAGCAGTAGTCCCCAACCTTTTTGGCACCAGGGACCAGTTTTGTGGAAGACAATTTTTCTACAGATGGGGGTGGGGAGGATGGGTTCAGGATGATTCAAGCGCATCACATTTATGGTGCAGCCAAACCTCTCTGCCAATGATAACCTGTATTTGCAGCCGCTCCCCAGCGCTAGCATCACCGCCCCAGCTCCACCTCAGCTCATCAGGCATTAGATCCTCATAAGCAGCTGCAGCCTAGATCACTCGCACGCGCAGTTTACAGGAGGATTTGCACTCCTACGAGACTCTAATGCCACCGCTGATCTGGCAGGAGGCGGCGCTCATGCAGTGATGTGCGTGATGGGGAGCCGCTGTAAATGCACATGAAGCTTCCCTCGCTCACCTCCTGCTGTGCGGCCGGGTTCCCAACAGGCCACCGACCGGTACCCATCCTCAGCCTGCAGGGTTGGGGACTGCAGCTTTACCGGACTTTAGGACAAAGCTGTGTCACTACACCAGGTGAATCCTTATCATGCCTAACACGCTGGGAATCTTCACCCCACCCTGGCCAATTTCCAAATAGCTCATTTTATTCTTCAAAGTTCTTTTGAACTTTCATGTGACACATTTCCTTGTCCCATTGTTGCTGATTTCCAAATAGCTGCCAGCAAGTTTTTCCTCCCTCTTGCCTACTCTTCACTCATGTGTTGGCAAAGTTCGTAGAACTTAGGGGACTTGGAAGATGCTTTGAAAACACTGTCACAAAGGCACTGCTAAAATGCACAGAAAGAGTGGTCAGTTGGAAGGAAGGATCCTAAGGACTTCATGCTAGTTTTCAACAAATGCTTAGAGAACTCTTGAAGTGGATTGGGTGTCAACCCAGGGAACACAATGTATTGATTTAATTAATTTTTAAAAAGCTGATGTGGTGATGGTGTGGCTTTCTGCAAGTCAGAAGAATTTCTGAGTTTTCACCTGCCAGGAACTGGGGCGGGGGAGTCGGGGCACAGTGAGAGAAAGGACCTGCGGCTGTCCTAGGTACTCCTGGCACGTTTCTGGGAAGGGATGGATGAGGGTGGGCGCATCTGCTGGCACCGTCCTGTGCTGCCTGTGAGGACCTGGGACCTGCAAGGGGCACATGGGTGACATCAGGGTGCCCAGGCCGCAGCCTCCTCGCTGCTGAGCTGGGTTCCAACCGCCTGCCACGTGTCCCTTGGTGATGGAAATGAAGATGAAGGAGTCATTTCATGATTTCCTGCTGCTGAGAACAATAAATGTCTTCTTACAAACAAAACAAACAAACAACAACAAAAAAAAACCCCACTGTTTGAAGTTCAAATTTAAGCATTTCTGCCTGTTCTCCAAAGTTTTACTTTCTGGGTACCGCATGGCGATACACAAATATCTCACAGTTGGAACCAGCAACTCCTCAGCCCCAAGACGTTCACCTGTTTGTACAGTTTCTTGTCTCCGGGCCCCGGACCTTATTTTTATGGCAATTGCTCTCTGGAGCCTTCGAGACCACAACTCAGCATTTTTTCTGCAGGTGCCAGCACGGAGGACTCTGGGGGCCCCTGCACATGTCCCTCACCTGCACCATGACTTTACCTGTGCTCCTCCAGCCGCAGTCACTGGTCGCAGGGCGGGCTCGTCTGGCTCCTGCTCCTCCAGGACTGAGTGAGATGGCATCTGCTCTGCGAGGCCTGCGTGGCCTCCTGATCACAGACGGAATCACTCACCACACGGCACACACACACACACACACACACACACACGGAGCACACAGACATGTACACATCACACACACGTAGCACACAGACATGTACACATCACAGACACACACGTAGCACACAGACATGTACACATCACACACACACGGAGCACACAGACATGTACACATCACACACACGTAGCACACAGACATGTACACATCACACACACGTAGCACACAGACATGTACACATCACAGACACACACATCATGTAGAAACACACATGCCACACAAACACACACACACATCAACACACACATCACGCAGACTTGCAGACGTACACACAGACACAGACACACTCGCACGCTCCTCCTCTCCTGTGCTTTTCTAAGCACACATTACCATTAATGAGCTATCTTTTTAACTCATTCATCTTACTTACTTTCTATCTTTCTCCCTAGAATGGAAGCTTCGTGAAGGTAGGGGCTGGGGTCCTTTTCCTATGCCCCACTGCTGCTTCCCCAGCACCTAGAACTGTTCTGACACAGAGCAGGCACCCATACGTATCTGTCGAATAAATGAACTCCAGACCTTCACTTATATTTTCACAAAAATATCCCCCTGCTTTGCAAGAGCCCTGCCCCTTGACACACCCCTGGCCCTTCATAATGGGGCTCCCAGGCCTGGGTCAGCAGGCTCACTGGACGGCGGGGGGAGGGGGAGTGCAGCTGCTTCCTCAACCCCCACTCTGGGCCTGGACCTTGCCGGGAGCTCATCTCAGCCCCAGCCCCACGGGGAGGCCGCGTGGCAGACGAGGGTGCTGAGCTGGGCGAACTTGAGAGGCTGCGGCTATCAGACAGCAGGGTCCACGCCTGGCGGTGCTAGCTCCTCGGGCGCGGCAAGGAAGATCACAGCGGTTCAAGTCCCCGCTCTGCAGTGCAGTTGCCCAGCCACTAGTGCCCGCCCTGCCAGTTGCCCAGCCACTAGTGCCCGCCCTGCCAGCTCCAGCTGGGTGGTGTGGGCACACTCCTCCAGCTCCCTGTGCTCGCCTCCGTCGCCTGCGCCACCAGGAACATGCGAGCACGGAGCACCATGCCCCTGCATTGTGGTGGCATTACAGGCAGTACCACTGAGGCATAAAGAACGCCTGGCCCCGGTGCGGTCCGGGACTGCCAGCCTTCATCACTGTGCAGACCCCGCCTTCCTGCCAGCCCGCCAGCACGCTGTCACCCGGGGTGGCTGGGCGAGGTCCCAGCCTCCTGGAGACGTCCGCGGACGGGCGCCCGGTGTCACTCAGGACGCGACCGAGGCCCAGGAACCCCCGGTTCCAAAGGCAACTTTTCCCTCTGAAAGGCGGCAGAGGCAGAAACTTGTAGCACAAAAGTACCGGGATACTGCGGCCAGCCCGTTCCTCCGGCCCTGGGGCCTCCCGTCTGGGGGTGCAGTCCGGGCCCCGCTTCTCATCCTGGAGGAGACGCCCGGGCCCCCGTGCCGCTGCAAATTCCGATCGGGACCAGACCCCGCACCTGGGAACCTCCCGCCTCCTAACAGCCCTGCGAGGACGCGCCATCGGCGGGCAGGGGACCGCAACCGGCCGCGCGGCAGATCCCCAGCTGGACACGACGTCGTCGCGGGAGCCTCAGGCGCGGCGAAGGCGCCCCGCGGCCGCTCAGGCTGCGGTCTGGGGAAGGGCGCGGGCTGCCGGCCCCCTGGACACCGAGCCGCGCGCCCCCGCGTGGCCGTGCCTGGGAACGCAGGCCGTGGAAACGCTGCCCGCCCCCTCCCGGGCCTTGGGGACGGAAGCGCCACCTGCGGGCGGATAGGGGACGCAAGGAGGCCCCGGGAACCCCTCGGCAGGCCTTGCTCAAGCTCTGCATGTTGGAAGGCCCTTGACCGAACTCAATCTCACCATGTCCTGAGGCGCATCTCCCTTGGGGGAGGGCTGACAGGAGGTACAGCACCACCTCTGCACCCTGAGTTTTCCCTTCCCTTTGGGAGCTCACTGAGCACCTAGTGGCCCAGGGGCTTTGCTCCCCCATGACAGCTCTAGCCTGAGCGGGGTGCAAGGTTTGAGGGCAGCCCGAGAGCCATGGCCCAGGGTAACAGCCAACAAGGCAGAGCACAGCCCAGCCGTTGGTTCACCCGCTCATTGTGCAGGACTCAGGGAGTCCCCATGCCAGCCACCCCGGGAGACCCTGAAGCTGTATCCTCTGTGGGCTACGAGATTCATATAACCCAATGACCAAACCCCACAGTGAGTCCCACGGGGGTTTCTGTGTGGGAGGCACACCCCCCCCCTTCTGATAACTTGGGTGGGCACTGGTCCTACTCAATCTTATGCAGGAATTGGAGCCTGAGGTTAGATGCATTAAGAGTAGACTGGGAACTCTGAAGAAGTCCATCCACTCAAGTTGCCTTCACATTTTGGCCAGCTGCCCGGAAGCATGATGCCATCTTTTGGGATTTGACCAAAGATTCCCAAACATGTGGTCTGTTGTACTCCAAGTACTCTCTAAAGGAATTTTGCTTCATTGAGTTATCACACGGAACGTGGTGCTCTGGGACCTGTTGACATTCATTTGTTGCGACTGCAAGAGTTTGTTATTAATATAATTGGTGCAGCCAGAGAAAAGTGGCTAAAACTTCTGGGAAATTCACTCTTAATATTGTAACACATTATATAGAGAAAAAAATTGAACCACAGTAATGATGGGGGTTTGTGGTTCCTGTGTGCTTGGCAATGTGCGTGCTTGGGATTTTGATAATTTACAAAAGCTTTATGCTCTAAGAAATCTCCTTTCCTCCAGCCTTCTTAAAATCCAAAGGAAATTTACAAAATTGGCCTCTGAAACCTATCACTGATGTAATGCAAATGAGAGCCTGCCTTAGAGAGCGAAGTCCAAACCCTGGAGCCCAGACCTCCGCCCCACTGATGGAATGAGCATACAGCCCTAGAGACTGGAGGACCCTTTTCAAAACAGAGACCACTTCAGGTCCGTGGGGTTGTTCATCTGGCCTCTAGAAGAACATGCTTGCTTTCCCCTCCCTGCTCTCCCATTGTTGACAATGCCCCAGCCCACCCCATGGGCTGTTCACACACACAGCCAGTGTCCCACCTGCAAAGTTGTTTGGGACGTTTTAGCCAAATTCTTCACCTCTAACTCAGCTTTGGTGTGGTTCACATTAGGCTCTTGAAAATCCCCTCTCAAGCCAGCCTGAATCTGGAGGACAAGGACAAGGGTCCTCCCCTCAAAAGCACAGAAGATCCTTAGGATTCCTGGGCCTTGCACGTGGTGAGCACAGTGCCTGGCCCAGGAAGAGGTGGCTGAGTGGTCTGGACC